CCGCCTGTGGGTCCCCCAGCCACATCTTCCACCACAACCTCGCGGTTGGGCGCAAGTGCAGCCAGCACCTCTTTGAATTGTTCGGCCGTGATGCCAACCCTCTGAATGAGGGCCTCAGCCTCCCCGGTGGTGATGGGAGGGTTCCGACCTCCAGTGGTGCTGTTCTCCCCCTGTTGGGGAGCTCCGGTACCTACATTGGCGTTACTGCGCGTTTGCACCATTGTCTTAATGGAGGATTTCTTCTGAGTATGATTCTCGAACTCTCAACGAGAGCACCAATTTGATGGACAATAAATCCACCAAATGATCCGATTCACGAAGCGGATCGTAAGAACAAAATTAAGAACGAGAATTCGAGAATTGGGTATGTATTATTAGCTTGATCTAGCTTGAATTTCCTCCTTTTGGGTCTCATCTATTTATACATGAACTATATGCACTTAAGGGTAACGCATAATCGATGGAGTCTATCCCGTTAAGGGCGCGATCCCCTTTTTCCGGCTCTGTAACGGCCAATTTGCTCCGTCTCCTTCTCCGGACCGGCTCTGCCAGCTACGTTTGGTCTAAAGTCAACCGGGCCTGGCTCTATGGGCCGGCCCAGACCTGAGTATTTTCCGAGTGTCTGACCCGAAGTAGTGTAAATGGTTCAGTTGGGCCGCCCACTGGGTATCGGCCCATCAATATTGTATATTAATACAATAAAATCAAATTTTGAAAGTTCACAATTAAGATTTATCTAATGAAATTATTTTCATACTAATATACATTATGAGTAATTTTTATTTAATTGAGACCCAAAGTTTATAAAAATTTAACTCAGAAAAGTCAAACTACGTACTCCCTCTGTCCCACAAAATATTTCTAATATTGATTTTTAAAGGATTTAAGAGGAGTATATATTTTATTATTGACTTTCCAAAAATGCCCTTGGATGTAATGTATAAAAGTAGAATATGATGAGTAGATTAATAATGAAAAAGTGTGATGTGATAGACATGTTATTAATTAGTAGGGGTAAAAATGACTTTTTAGTAGAAATATGAAAGATTTTTTGGGACGAATGAAAAAAGAAAGGAGAAAGATTGTATGGGACGGAGGGAGTAATAGATCAGACTATAATTAGAAAAATTAAAACATATGCTAGCTAATATATTTCATTAATAAAGCAATTTATTTTCCATATAAAAGTATAAATTTTATATTGAAGAATTATTAAACCTAGATATGATGATGAATATCACATTTTTAGCCGCACTATAAATGTTTGAAACAACCCAAGATCTACAAGACTACAACCTATGTTTGCAAAAGGGTGTTGAATTGTAGTCCATTTATTATTGGCTCAAACAAATTTAATTATAATTAATCAAATACTCCATAATACTCCGTATATTAACTCCACCAATAACTCAAACAAATATGATTATGATTGTATTGTACATACATATACGGAGTATATATAATAAAAACTTCAAGAAAAGATTTTGTTTTTTTAATTGTAATATATATATAGAAACATAAACGTTGACAGTACATACTGTGTGCAGGTGAGAGTGAGAGACGTAAACGCCATGCATGCATGCATGCTCAGGCGGATGGCGGCGGTGTTGAGCCACCGGCGGCGGCGGCCTTGCCGCAGAGGAGGGTATTCTTTGGGATTTTATCATTTATCTCGGAGGAATTTGAAGCAACCTTCAAATAAAACTGTTGTCCCAAGTACTTTCTTTCCCAATGCTCAGATCTCACATTCCATATCCCCACGCTGTCAAGAGCCACATAAATGGCTGTCCATGACTCCGGATATACCTGCCTTGATAATAATCATCTTATTATTATTATTATTATTATTATTATTATTATTATTATTATTATTATTATTATTATTATTATTATTATTATTATTATTATTATTATTATTATTATTATTATTATTATTATTATTATTATTATTATTATTATTAGGGCATCATCTAATATGAACGGATGACATTCGCCAATTTCAAACTGCTCTGGTACTCTGTTCCCAAAAAATAATATTACCTCCGTCCCTGAGTATTTGTCCAGTTTTGACATTTTTCGGTCAACCATTTTCAAACTTTGACCTATAATTAAATAAAATACATATCGTATTTTCATTTGATAAAATGATATTTTGAAAATATTTGATACAATAAATCTAATATCATTTTTATTTGATTTGATGTCAAAGTTTGCTAATTTTGACCAAAAAGTCAAAAGTGGATAAATACTCAAGAAACTAATGAAGTATCTACTCCCCTAACCCACCCGTAAACTCGCCACTTCACCCCACCCTAGACCCTCCTTTTACCCCCTCCAAATGTGTGGCTATTAGTGCAAAGGCAGTGACGAGGCATTGCCACCCACGGCCTGCCACCTCAGCCCATTTTCTCATAATGCATGCCTTGCATGACATCCTCATTCCTCCATGGTTTGAGAGTCATGAGCAAGACACCCCTTTCCCAATTTCTGTTTTTTTTTAAATTTGTTTTTCTTTCTTTCTTTTTTGTACAATAAAAAGGAATTTTTTTTATAAGAAGTACATCTATTTTTATAAAAAAAGATAAATAAAAATATTTTTATAGTTAAAATATATCAAAAAAAGTATAAAAAGTGAGAAAACATTGAGTTGTGACTGCATGGGATGTCACTCATCTCCCTTGCGACACGCTGACTGGACTATTTCTAATTGGTTGAAGAGTTCCATGTCATCGTGTGACAATTTTTTTTGCCTTGTCATTGTACATGCTCTTATACATTGCATAATAGCCACATATTGGAGAGAGTAAAAGGGGGTCTAGAGTGAGGGTGGGGTTGGGTAGGGATGCGATGAGGATTTGGAGGGTGGGGTGGGAATAACAACAACAACAACAACAACAACAACAACAACAACAATAATAATAATAATAATAATAAATATAAATGTAGTAATAATAATAATAATAATAATAATAATAATAATAATAATAATAAAGAGATCAAATTTCATACTCCCTCGTCTCTAAATAGATTACAATTTTTTTTCTCTCTTCTTGATAACTTTTGTTTGTTTACACGATTTAATTAAGTATTTGATAAAATAAAATATTCTTGTCACCTCTTGTTTTGTACGGAGTAGAACTTTTGACGTAATTTTTTTAATACTCCCACCGTTTCTCAAAACGGTTCATGTTTTGACTTTGGGCAAAAATAAGGAAAGTGTAATTTTAGTTGACTTTCCAATTTTGCCCCTGATGTGATGGATAAAAGTAAGATGTGATAGTTTAGTTATTAGTGAAAAAGTATGATGTGATAGGTAGGGTATGAAAAAATAGAGGTAAAAGTAGTTTTTTAATAGAAAAGGAAAGTATTTTAAGAAAAAGAAAAAAAATGAAAGAGGAAAGGTTTTAAGAAACTGGAGGGACTATGTATTTTTTATATATTCTTGATATACAAATTTGTAAATAAAATAATTTCAAAAAGTAGGAAATTTTTCTTTGTAAACCGAGGAAGTAATATGAATAACCTGAGTGGTGACACGTGCAACGGCATCTTTAAGATTATAAGCCGTCCTATTGGCACGATTCCATCCACCCCAACCCATCCTGCAAACATACATAGGGCATTTAATTTTATTATTTTAAAAAGATTACTCCCTACACATTATCTAACAAGTAACAAAAATGTTTAAAGAGAGAATTCTTAATAAAATGATGTTTTTTCATAAAGTGTTTTTTTCTAAATCAGTCCTTAACAAATAATTATTTTCAAAGAAGTCCTTTTTAATACTCCCTCCGTTTCTTAAAACGGTTCTTGTTTTGACTTTGAGGCAAAATAAGGAAAGTGTAATTTTAGTTGACTTTCCAATTTTGCCCCTGATGTGATGGGTAAAAATAGGATGTGATAGTTTAGTTATTAGTGAAAAAGTATGATGTAATAGGTAGGGTATGAAAAAGTAGGGGTAAAAGTGGTTTTTTAATAGAAAAGGGAAGTGTTTTAAGAAAAATAAAAAAAATGAAAGAGAAAGGGTTTTAAGAAACGGGGGGAGTATAATGTTTTTCCCAATTCAATCCTCAAAAAATAATTATTATCTATGTAGTACATTATAATTAAGATTTATTCCTACAACGCTCCTCCAACAAAAATTTCATTATATGACGTACCGTTAATTGGAAGGTATTTTCTACCATTTAAATTTAAAGTAAGCTTTTATAATGTACCTTTCTAATGAGCAGTGAGTCCATTCTAAAAGATTATTTTTGAATTTAGATGATTTGAAAATACCTTCATAGGCTCCAATTAAAGTCACATAAAGAAATTTTAGTCGGAAGACTATCTCGAAAAATAATTCTCAATTATAATTTATAAAGTACTACGTTAGGAACGATGTTAATAATGACTGAGTCATTAACTATAAACATTATTAAAAAATGATATCAGTCACACACACTAAAACTAATAATCTCTCCGTTTACCAAAACATTTTCTCTTTCACTTTTGTTTTCTACCACCAAAATACTTCCACTTTCTATTTAAAAACAACTTTTACCCCTATTTTTTCTTACTTTATCTATCACACCATACTTTTTTTTAATAATATATCCATCACATCTTACTTTTACTCGATCATCACATCAAGGGCAAAATTGGAAATCAATTACAATTTAACACTTCCTTAATTTGAACTTTGATCAAAATAGAAAGGGTTTTCCAAAACGGATAGGAGGAAGTACACATTAGAGCGGTAGCTAATAACAATTTTTTTACGGGTCATGCTACACTTACACCAAAAATTGTACCCCATTTGTACACCGTAGTTATACACAAACATTTTGATAGTTTACACCGGCACACGTGTTGATGTGTTAACAAAAACTTACACGGACACAAAGTGTTGGTGCGTTAACAAAAATTAGTTTTACACAAACACAAAATGTCAGTGCAAACTTGCGTGTACAAAATGCGGTACAAAAGTTTGGGTACAAATAACTTTTCTATTTTTTTACAAAGAACTAATGAACTTTTTCTCAAACATTCAAATAATATAATTTCACACAATTAAAAGTTATTACTCCGTATTATTATTAATTATATAAAAAATTTAAAAATCACATTAAATGGATCGGAATACCTAAGAGTATGAACAATGGTGAGGCAAAAATGTAATGCCACACGCTGACGTGGAACATTTCAACCAATAAAAAACTGTCCAGTCAACGAGTGCCACGTGAGTGGAGTGGCATGCCTTGCAGTGACAAGTCATTATTTTCATCACTTTTTTCATATTTTTGCCATATTTGAATTATTAAAAATTATATTAACTATATATTTTTATCATGAAAATATTTTACGTAAATAACACTAAAACATAATGATTTTCCCTAAATAGCATCAAATGTATTTTTTTCCAATGTCACACTTTTAGTCATTATCCAATAGTCATTTTTCAATTAAATGTTCGTCATCATTGGACATTATACACATTATTAAGTGCTATTTAAAAAATAAAACAATTTAAGTACTTCCTTCGTCCCAAAATAAACTTCCCTTTTCGTTTTTTCTTTGTCCTTAAATAAACTTCTTTTTTCCCTTAAAAACCCCTTTAACCCCTTACTTTTTCATACCCTACCTATCACATCATACCTTTTTACTAATAATCTACATATCATATCTTACTTTTACACATCACATCAAGAGTATTTTTGGAAAGTCAACACAAAAATATCTCTCTCTTAAATCCTAAAAAAATAAAAAAGAATGAAATAAAATGTTGTGCGTACCCGACAACAAAGAAATTGTGTCCATTAATGTGAAATGTCTGAAGAGTTTTCTCGTTGTTCTGAAGCACAATCTCGACGAATTCCCTGAAACTCGCCCCCATGACGGCGGTTTCTGGCCGGAATTCCCCAGCTCCGGCGGCGGTCGGGGGAGGTGCGGCCGGCATGCTTCCCGGCGCGTAGACGCCGGAGATGTTGAAGTGGTCGGCGAGGAGGAGCGGAGTCTCCGGGTCAACGAAGCTGACGCCGTTCACGGCGAACATTAGTTTGCCGGCGACGGGGACCACAGAGTTGGCGAGGGTAATCGTCCGGCTGATGTTTTTCTTGCCGTAATTGTAGGAACCTTGCTCGGAGAGCCTCGCTCCGTAAGCGGTTAGATTGGTCCTGAAAGTGAACTAAGGGGTTATAGTCACTAATGGAGAGGCACCTATCTATTATGAAGAAATGAACGAAGAAATCGCCAAAAAATTTGAACTCTAGAGATTCACGGCGGATTTGATTCAACATATTTTCAATCATTCAAATAATCATTAACTTCATTTGACTTTCTATGGGCTTTATTGGAATTTTATGTTTGTTTGAAAGTAATGTAGTTCTTTCTATAGATTATTAGTAAAAAGGTATGATGTGATATGTAAGTTAATACTCCCTTCGTCCACAAATAGACTTTCGGTTGCGCGTTACGATGTTTGACTGAAGTTATTTTCAAATCATTTTATATGAAAAATGGTGTAAAAATAAAAAATAAAAACTACATATTAAATAGTTATTATATCAAAAGATCTACAAAACTAGAGGTGACATGACCATATTATTTTATCAAATGAGCGACGAGAATAGGCCAACAAAGTGAATAAAGTTTGACCCTGTTAATAGTGAATGAGAAGTTTATTTGTGGACGAGGAGGGAGTAATTAGTAGGGATAAAATATTTTTTTTAATGGAAATAGGAAGGGTTTTGTGAGACAAGTAAAAAAATAGAAAAAGTTTTTTTTGGACGGATTGAGTAATTTTTATTTATGTTACTACTAATGAAATCTTTTAAGTTTAATTAATAGAATGTATATTATATTTTAAAAAATAAAGGTTTGAAGTCCCAATATGAACCCTGACATTTCTAGTGAAATTATGTACGATGTAAGTTAAAGAATAATTAAAGCTGATATGACAGAGAGAAAAATTTTGAAGGCTTAATATATCCAGTGCCCGACCTTTGCTGGTTCATGTGGCGTTGGTTACCAATATCAAAAAAAATGACGATTCTTGAATCTTTTAAAAAATAAAAACGAGAAAGAACTTTTTTAGGACCGAAGGAATGAGTGCGGATAGATAGATACATACTTGATGGATCTGGCTTGGTGTATTGACCAGTTGAGGTGGTCGGGGGGGCGGAAGTCACGGAAGACGGGGCGGCGGGCGGATTGGTTGGCGTAGTGGAGGACTGCGGTGGTGAGGAGCACTTTCTCGGGGGTGAACGGGGTGTAGACGACGAAATAGTAGTCCGTCGCCGCCTGATCGGCGGTGAGGAGGACGGAGTAAGATTGGCCGACGTGGACATCGATTGACTGGAGGTCCACGTGTTGGGTGTGGGTCCCCTCCACTTCCACCAGTCTCATCACGTGGTCTTGGACTCCGAAATTCACTGTGTTTTGTAGCCCCACGTTGGATATCCTTAGCCGGTATGTTTTCCCTACCATCAAACCAAAACCAAACCCACAAAACCATTACTTGTGGTATTTTATAAAATTGAAATGAAATATTTGCGTTAAATAACACTCTAACTTAAGTCATTTTTCTAAATAGTATTTAAACTGTTTTATTCTCTAAATATTTCTTAATAATGATCATAATGACTAGTGATGACAAATATTTGATTGAATAATGACTAATGTATAATGACTAAAAGTGATACATTGAAAGAAAAACAAATGTTGTGCTATTTAGAAAAAATCATTATATTTTAGTGCTATTTAAGTAAATTCCTTAATATAAAATACTCTCTCCATCCCAACAAGCCCCTCACGTTTCAAAAAAATTGTGTCTCTTAAAATCCTTCTGATTTCTATTAAAAAACCACTTTTACCACTTACTTTTTCATACCCTACATATCTCATCATACTTTTTTTCTAGTAACTTATACATCACATTCTAGTTTTATCTATCACATCAAGTGTATTATCCATCCATTATTTTACCACTTTAGTTCAAATATCCCTATTTTTATGGGACGGAGGGAATAATACATTCTATTCACCTCTTATTTAATACGAGTATAATTTTTTATATAGATTTTAAATTATTTTTTTTAAATTTTGCACTTATAATTAAATGAATTGAAATAAAATTAATTCAGTCAAATCTCGTAAACCAAAACAGAAAGAATGTTTTGGACAGAAGAAATATAAATTTAATAAAATTGAGTTCATTTTAAAATATAGCTTTGATCTATCAAATTCTTATTATATAAAATTGGAGTAGCATTTAAGTATATAAAATTATATTTAACTTGTTGCCAGTGTTGTGAAGTTTGACTAAAAAGTGAAACAGTGATTTTTTAAAGAAAAATTGCCACGGTTTGACAAAAGACACCAATGTCGAAAAACCATGATGTATTGAGGGTATGAACTACTTACTCCATTCCACTATATTTGTCCACTTTCATTTTTGCACACCATCCAATGCACTTCTTTAATCCATTTTATCTTGTAATTTGTATATTAAAAAATTATAGAAATTATATATTAATAATCTATATGTTAAGACAAATCAAACAAGATCACGCATGACTATATTTAGGCTTACACTTTGAGAGAATTTGATGAGTCAAAGTGCTTAGATGAATAGTTCCAAAAGTCAAAAGTGGACGAATATAGCGGGACGGAGGGAGTATTTCATTGGTCACACTATTTAGTAACATGAGAAAATGACATTAAGTTCCAAATTGGTGTCAAAATAACAAAAGAATTTAGGAGGATATGAAAGCGGAGAGACCACTTTGACGTCATATATACATTATTATACATACACACACAAATAATAATTCTTTGTATGCACATAGACCATTATTGTTCATGTGTGTCCCTGTGATACAGAGAGTCAATGCGATGTCATCACTTTGATATTCACATAGCTCAACTATCCAAATAAATGGAGTTGTAAGTTTAAAAAGAGGTTGTAAAAACATATTACCACGTACTTTCTTTCATGAATATTTGTTCAGTTTTGATTTTTTTAAGTCAATTTTTTAATCTATATTAAAATAAAACATATAATGTATAATAAATTGATAAAATAATATTTCAAAAATATTTTATGTAATAAATCTAATAAAACCATTTTTATATCAATATATAATTATGTTTTTATTTAGAGTAAACTCTATAATTGGTCCTTTATAACAGGGGATTTCCTTATTTAGTCCTCTATTATTAAATATTATCCATGTAGTCCTTCTTTTATGGGTATCTTTCCACAAATAGTCCTTTTTTTGATCTTATATCATTTTAGTGTTAATTTGAGGGCTAAAAATATAATTTCACAATGATAATATATCTTTTTTGTCATACACAATTCCAAAGGCTGTTCCGTTTGCGTCGTTTGTGAATTACAGTCACTTTTTACGACAACGATAGTCTACAAATGTGATCTTTCGTCAGAATCCTAGCCCACAATCATAGTCATTATTTTTGTGTTATTCGCTTAACCAATATCAGAACATGTCACTAGACATAGTGTTGATGTCAAATTATACTTTTAGCCTTTAAATTAACACCAACACGGCAGAAGATGAAAAAAAGGATCATTTGTGGAAAGGTACCCTTAAAAAAAGGACTACGGGGGTAATATTTGATAATAAATGACTAAATATGGAAACCCCCATGTTATAAAGGACCAATTATGGAATTTACTTTTTTATTTATTTTGAGATCAAATTTTCTAAATTTAAACGAAGAAATCAAAAGTGAACATATATTGAGAGAGGGGGGACTATAATTGAAGCATGCATTATTGTAGCATCTATCACCTTTTTCAACAGTCATATTCCAAGCATGATTATCGTTTGAACCGGCATAGTGCCCATTAATAAGAACAAGATCCGGAGTACCCAAAGCATTTCCACTATCTACTTTGTTTTTCAAGTCCTGTTCATATACATCAAGATTAATTCAATTTATTTATTACGGAGTACTAAGTACTCCGTAATTTTTTAATACGGTCCTTTATCATAAAGCATTTTTTCCAATTCAGTCTACAATCTTACCTACATAACTATTTATTATTGAGACTTATTCCTTTATAAATAATGTTACTTAAATGATGATCAATTAAAATGTATTTTGGCATTTTTATCATCTAAATTCAAAGTATATATATATATTCCAAAAAAGATCATTTTATACAATTAAATATAAAATTAAAACAATATATTGACTATATATACATAGTTCACGAATTATTAAAAATCTATAAAAAAATATTTTAAAATTTGAATCAAATACACATGTATAATTAGAAAAAAAACCATTTTCAGAAAATATTTCATTAGAAATGATTATTTTAAGAACATATTTTAAATTTAGTTGTTAAAAATATCCATCAGTTAATCATCATTTGAGTAACATTATTTACAAAAAAACGACATAGAAAATAAATTTTAATTATAGAGGATTTCGTAGGTAATTAGAATTTATAAAAGACTGATTTGGGAAAACACCTTACTATAGATGACCATTTTGAAAATTGACTCTTTTTTATTATTCCGTATCAATTCTTTTGACAATAAAAAATATCGTCATAATGTAACAACAAAACCTTTGGTGATTCGATCGAAAATGATACTTCTTACTCCTTAATCCGCCTCTAAACCCCCTGCCTATGTACCCTACCAGAGCACCCCCGGCCTTTTGCCCAAAATAGTGATTGACAACAATAACAGTGTCGCCAATCTGTGTTTAGGAAAAGGGGTGTTGAGGTCGGGTGCAAGAGTTTAAAAGAGTAAGAATCATAATTTTTTCAAACTAAAAAGCGTGTCACCTATTATCAAATTATGACCATAAGAATTGTTGTCAAAAGAATCGAGCAATTATTATTATTATCATTCAAACTTATTTTAAAAATATGTTACAGTATAAAACAAAAGAAAACATGAATATATTTAATTGTATTGGATCAAAAAATTAATAAAGTAAATAAAGTGAGAAATGACATACTTTGTGGTTGGAAATGTACCAATCCCCAATGAGGACAGTATAATCATCTTGTTGGCTAGGGGGAGTAAATGGGAGAGGGATATTGGCCCGGCCCAGAATCCTAATGCCTCCAAACCCACCTGCTGCTTTGTGGAAGCCCAAAGATGGAAAGTAAAAGAAACTCCCTATTTGATCTTTGGGCTGTAAGCGGTAAGTGAAATTTTGGCCCACTGGAATTGGACATGTGGTCCCACTCACCCCATCTGAATATGGACTATTCCTATTTAAAAGCCCATTCCTGCATTTTTTTTTTGAGAAAATAAAGTCAACAGATGTAAAACAAATGGGTTCTTTCTCGGTTTGGTTTGATTCAGTCCAAGCTTTAAGGATTCGGACTGATCCAGTCTAGGCTTTACCTATTTGGTCCGATCCAGACTCTACAGATCCGGTCCTAGCCGTATTTGGCCTGGTCTATGAGAAATTAGCCGTTCTTGGTCCCGGTCCAGCCCGCCCAGATTGAAAAGGCAAAGAAACGAGAGAGATTCAACTAGGACAAAAAGAGTACGCACCAAGACAGAAGAAAAGGCTCGTCCAAGTTGTTGTAGACGTTGATAAAGAGATTATCATCGGTGTGGCACAAGATATCCGGGCCCGGGAATTGCCCGTTGATCAAAATTCCCTGCAAAACCCCAAAAAGAAAATGAAAAAATTCGAGTACTTGTCTATTTTCATATTTAGCTGATGCGCGACGGAATGAGAATTTCTGAAAGAAAGAAATATTGACCCTTTGGGATGGAACTCCATTATCATTCCCAAGAGGGAAAATTGTCCCATATGTGACATTGAATGTGTAGTAGACGTAATTGTTCTCCGCTTGACCAAAATCTAAGAGCAATGCCGCCGTTGCAAGTAGCACAAAAACACTTTGAGGAGCCATATTATATACTATATATATTGTAGATATATAACTCTTTAAATGAAGATAGTAGAGATGATGAGCTAATACCAAATGGTGTATATATATATAGAGAGAAAAGTGGGCCTTACTATTTGCTTCCTCCGCTCACGTTTAACTCGTTATTATGATTTTTGAGATACATTAAAAGAGGAATTATTTTTTTCGTCACATAAAAAAATCATTTTTTTCCGCTTTTTGTTTGTCCTAATTAAAAAATTTTGTTTTCTTTAAGAAAGAAAGGAATGTGTGGATCATGACTCTAGTGTCTACTCTAAACAAATTATAATCTTGAATTTTTTTCAAAATTTTTGTTAAACTGCGTGAAAGTCAAATAAGAAGTCTTAGTTCAAATTATTCATAATTCAATTAGGTGTACGTAAAGTCTGCATACACACATGCTTTCCAAGCTTCATTGTGATTCTATTGGATTTGTTGTATTAGATTTCAAACTCAGCCAAAGTTTAAGATGGAAAAAACATTCTTCAATTGGAAATTTAACAAAAATATGAAAAATGAAGTATATGATGGAAGTAATATTTAAAAATGAATTAAGCTAGGGGTACCCCATGTTGGTGTACCCCTAGCATTGCCCTTTAAAAATAAGGGACGGGGGAAGTCAATAAGGGACGGAGCTGAGGGTGTAATATTTAAAAATATAGAATTAAGAGCAATTCCATATTATAAAATTTTAGCAAACGAATTTCATAAAAGCATATACTCCCTCCGTCCCGCTTTATTCGTACACTTTTGACTTTTGGAACTGTTCATTTAAGCACTTTGACTCATCAAATTCTCTCAATGTGTAAGCCTAAATATAGTCATGTGTGATCTTGTTTGATTTGTCTTAACATATAGATTATTAATATATAATTTCTATAATTTTTTAATATACAAATTACAAGATAAAATGGATTAAAGAAGTGCATTGGATGGTGTGTAAAAATGAAAGTGGACAAATACTCTGGGACGGAGGTAGTACAATTCAATGCCTACCGGCGGGATATTGTAATTTTTGATTTTCTTTGATTGTTCTCTCTCACTAATGAAAATCATGAACCCCTTCAACGAAGAACATTGCTGTCGAGGAATCCCGCCCAACCATCAATCTTGAAGAAGTTGTGCGAGAAGGGTTGTTCTACAGAGATAGACAACTCTATCCTTTGCAGGCAATAAAAAAAAGTCGGCGTTCAGGGTGTTTGAAAAGAATGATGTTCCCCCTGTTTGTTCGAATTTGGTGAAGGTTCGAAAAGAATGGCTGTTGGGTTATGGAACCCGGGGGCCTAGGTGACTAGGCGGATGAGTATCGAACTAAGTATGAGTGCACGAAAATATGGGGTCAAGTA